AAGCCACACACGTTTCCCAGCGGGCCCTTTACAGACCTGGTGCCCCCAGCTCTCAACTTGAAACTCTGTCGGTCTGGATCCAAATGGAGTCAGATGGCATAACTGCTGGGGGACCGTGAATGATAAGAGGGGAGAGGTGGGACATTTTCCCTCCCCGGACTCTTAACGTCATGATGACTAGTATGTAGTGTCCTCTGTGTAAAAACTGAGCCTGGGAAAGTAGCTCTTAGGTTGTAATCAGGATCTTAAAGGAACCCATGTGAATAAATGCTAGAAACATAAGCCTAGGAATTTCCGCCTCAGTGAGTAGTTCCCATTGCCTCCGAGCCCTTTTGTTTTTCTCTGTTGTTGGCATCTGAGCACTGGGAACCCCTGCCTCCCTGACTGAGCCGTGTGTCGTGTTGAATTCTTTTCTGTGGGTGCCCCTGCCTTGCCCAGCAGCCCCTGTTCAGAGACCCCAGATGCCAGTGGGACAGCAGGAGGGCCCAGCATCTCCGGGCTGTGGGGCTCCGGGGTCAGGAGCTGGGGAGCAGGCCTGGCCGGGCTAGTCAGTGCCCAGGCTGGGGGCCGGGGAGGGGGCAGGGCTCTGGTCAGACCAGACCAGGCCACCCTCACTGGTCTTTGCTCATCAGGGCTTCTTTTTTTTTCTTTCTAGAATCCCTGCTTTTTCTTTTTTTTTTTCTTTTTTTCTTTCTCTCTCTATCTTTCTTTCTTTCCTTCTTTCTCTCTTTCTTTCTTTCTTTCTTTCTTTCTTTCTTTCTTTCTTTCTTTCTTTCTTTCTTTCTTTCTTTCTTTCTTTCTTTCTCTTCAGGTCTCTCAGCATTTATTGTGTAAAAGGCATCAGAACAGGAGATGGAATAATCCTCAACTCTTTCTGAGTACTTTTCTGGGACTTGTTTCTTGTGGACCTTTCGACTGGACTGGATCGTGTTTAGTTAACTAGCCCGAGGGTGTACTTTACCTGCTATTTATTTAAATGTTGATTTTCCAGTTTCAATTTTAATGTCAGTTCAGTATTCCCTAAGTCTATAACCTATGACTGTTTTAAACTTTAAAATCTCTCCATCTTTATGTATGTTGTTTTTCTTGTTTTTTAAAAAAATTGTTCTATGCAAATTGTGTTCCAAGTGGAGAATTCAGTTATTGAGTTTGTTTGCATGAGTGGAGTACATATTATGGAATATTCCTAGTATTTCTGCCTTCAAAGCTTAAAGAAATGCTTTTCTATGGTATTTTTTTTCATATAATAGATACTGAAAGTAGCGATTATAGTACGGACAAAACATTTAAGGATTTTTCTCTTTATAGCTGTATTCTTGATAGAATGGCATTAAAATAATCTGAATTCTTCTCTAGACTAGTCAAAATAATCGGATGTTCAAAACCAGTTACTACAAGACGCTTTGCTCAGTTTGGTGTGGCCCCCATTAAAGGGGGCATCGTTTCTAGTTCGGTGCTGATGCACACGTGTGTGTGGGTGTGTGTTCGGTGTCATCCAGGTTACATGACACCCCCTGGGAATGGAGCATTACGGCCAGGTGAACCCCCTAGACAACAAGTTTAACCTTTAAATGCCCCGAAATTCATCTGGAAGGTTTAATAAAATGTCCTAAAACGATCCTAGATGTGTTTGCCCTCCCAGATTGTTGTGCGCTCTCTGCCAGCACTACGCGTGTAAAGGCAGGTCAGTCGTAGTGCCTGCTGCGAGAGAACTCAGTTCACATCTGAGTTAGAAAGAACCCAGTTCACATTTCATCGGTAGAACAAGGATTGTTCTGGAAGTGGATTGGGCTCTAGGTGTCCGCGTTGACTGTAGGCCATGCGAAGGTAACCAGTAGGAGACTGAGGGAAGGACACGTGACTCCTGGGTGCCCGGGGGGAAGCAGAGCAACGACGGACTTCGTCATTTCAACCAAAGGGAGCTCAGGAGAAAGAAGGAAACAAGGACGCCTGATTGGTGTGTTTAAGAACCGATGACTAACGTCAGATGGCGTGAGTGAGCCCAGAGCTGAGAACTAGACTCAAGGTGAGAAGTGTCTGAGGAGCACGTCCTCCTGCTCAAAGGTGTAGTTAGTAACCATAAGCTAATGCGTCTGTAACGTGGAGAAATATGGAGACTGATCAAAACAGAAGCTGACAGTTCTACACAGATGGGAGACTCTAATGTGAATCTTAGCAAGCCGCAAACCAAGTAGATCAAAAAGAAGAAAGGATGTGGAAGGGGTTCTCACCTGGCCCTGCTGGCATTCGGGGCCAGATGGTTCTTTGTCAGGGGGCATCCTGTGCACTGTAAGATGTCTAGCAGTGTCCCTGGCCTCTGCTCACTACATGCCAGTATCACAGAACCCCCTCCCTCACTGTGACAACCAGAAATGTGTCTGGACATTGTCAAATGTACCCTGGGGGCCAAAATCATTTCTGGTTGAGAACCACTGACATAGAGGTTTCAAATAATATCGCTAATGGATATGTACAGAAATGCGTGCACAACAAACGACACATAGCTTCTCTTCAATTACATGGAGTGTTGAACAAAACTGGCCACATACTAGGCCACAAAGAAAGTAAGGTTTCAAAAAGTAGATACTATAGACCAGATTCTCAGACCACAGGGCAGCCTGGCTAGAGCCTCAGAGAGAAAGGAGAGCTAGAAGTACCTGCCTGAGCGTATTAAAACCCCCTTCTTTGTATCTCTTGGGTTAGAGAGGAGATCGTTAACTACTTTGAGGCTCTCTGTTAATGAGTGACAGGACTACACAGCACAACCTACAGGGTGGGGCAAAAGCAGCTCTCACGAGAAAGGAGGTGTGTGGCCTTAAATGCATTTATTAGAGAACAAGAAAAATAAGTGAATTAAGTTTTCAACTCAAGAAATGAGGAAAATAAAATTAAGGCAAATCTGTTTTTGCTTCCTGCAAATCTGATTAAGAAGAAACGAGAACACAGTATTTAAAAGGGGAGGTGACTACAGATGTGAAATTTGGCAAATGAGAACATACCAGGTACAGCTTGACGGCAGTACATTTGAAGCGCTGCGGATGGCTTATGAAGAAGACTTAAATGACCAGAACTGACCCTGCAGGTAGGAAACTTGTACAGAGCAGCAACTTTAGATGAAGTGGAGAAGGTAGTCAAGGTTCACCTTTTTGAAAAGGCACTGGGGCGAGTTAGATAAGCTTTCATGGAAGAGCTCATTCCTGTGTTGTACAGATTGTAGCAGCCATTCATGAAGCAGTCATTGTGCTCCTGCTGTGTACCAGACACAGGGAGGGTGCCAGGAATATGATGGTGAACGAACACAGAGCCAGCTCCTGCCTGCCTGGAAGTAGTAACAGCACAAGCTAATCGAAGGCCTGTCCCATAAATGTAAAGTGACAACTGCAGTGAGGACTGTGGGAAGGAGGTGTGTTTTGCTCTGAGATGTGGGTCAGAGGTCAGGGCAGCCCTTCTAAGGTGGAGCTGCCCGATGGGAAGCATCCAGGGGAACAGGAGTGGACAAGGGTAGGAAGAGCATTCCAGACAGGTGGGGACGGTGTGCTCACGGGCCTTGAGGGGTTGAGGGTGCTGAAGAGCCTGGAAGGGCCCAGTGTGACTGCAGTGCAGACAGGGGTGACCTGGGGTGGGGAGGGAGGAGAACAGGTAAGGATGCAATGGTGCTGAGCAGTCACACTGTGTTAAGATTTATGATCTGTATCTTGTAGGCAGTTGGAATCCTCTGGAGGGTTTTAAGTGGGTTTGTCACGATCAGACCTAGGTTTCCAGAAAAAACATGCCCATTTCCACAGAGGAACTGGTGGAATAAACTACGCTGAGCCCACAGTGTATGGTTCTCAGTCCACAGCTGTGGACAGGGGTGAGGGGACTACTGACCTGCTCTGCGGCATCTTTAGAACGTGGTGAGTGAGAAGAGTAAGGCTCAGAACTGTGAACAGAGAGGCGTGTGAACATCTGCTTGTGATAAAAAGGCTTAAACCCAGACTAGTTAAAATGGGTTCCTTGGAGGAGAGGAGAGGAGAGACGAGGGTTATAAATTAGGTTTCTGGACCTACCTTCTATAGTTTTGATTCATGGAACTGTGTAACCGTATGGATGTTTTATATAGTTTTAAATTAAATTAAGTCAAATGGTGGGGGGCAGGTGGGAGTACTACCTAAAAATTAGAAGCAAAGGGAATCAGAAGACCCTAACTGGGCATTGAGTTGGTGGCTTAACTGCACAGAGAAGAATTAGTTCAAGTGACTTCAAAGCAAGTTGGATTGCACAGCTATTCTAGTGGGATAAATCCTAAGGAGACAGGAATTACAAAGAAATCTTAAGGTTTCTAGTCTTCATATTGTTAGTAGCAATACTCATCTTGAAACTACGTATATACATATGTATAAAATATGACAAGTCGTCATTTTACTGTTATTAGGAACAAGATTTTCAGGGTAAAAAAAGATATATAGTGGGGAGGGTGCAGCTCAGTGGTAGAGTGTGTGCTTAGCTTGCACGAGGTCCTGGGTTCAATCCCCAGTACCTCCGTTAAATAAATAAATAAATTAAATAAATCTAAATTACCCCTCCTGCAAAACAAGAAAAAAAGAGAAACGTTATACAAATACTAATTCAAAGTAGTTAAGTAAATACCCTGTAATCCCAAATTTGAATTGGAAGTATCAGTGTTTACTTGTTTTGAAAAAGAATTTTTTGGGAAAGTATTTCCAGTCACTGTCCATTGAAAAGGCCTAGCCAGAAAGAGAAAGAAAAATATCATATGATAGAATCTTAAAGAACAAAACAAAACAAGAAAGAACACTGTGAACTCATCTGCAAAACAGAAACAGACTCGCAGACACAGTAAACAACTGTATGGTTACTGGGGAAAGGGGGTGGGAAGGGATACATCTGGGAGTTTGAGATTTACATATGTTAGCCAGTACATATAAAATGGATTTTAAAAAAGTTTCTTCTGTGTAGCACATGGAACTGTGTTCAGTATCTTGCAAAAACCTTGAATAAAAAAGAATATGGAAACGAGTACACATGACTGGCACATTGTGCTGCACACCAGAAATTGACGCGTCGTAACTGACTACACTTCAATTAAAAAAAGAAACAGAGAAAGAAAGCGCCTGGAGACAGTGACCAGCCAGTGGCAGGAGCACACATAGCACTCAGATTGTGGTCTCTACCTATCATTTTCCATGGTCAGGAATCAAAACTCCCCCTTGGATGAATGGCACAGACTGAGTTTGGCACAGAAAATGAACAAGGTGAGCCTGGAGTATCTCGTTTTACCTGAAAGCAAGGAAGCTTTCCAGACTTCCAGGGTGCGTCAGAAGCTGTAGGAGGTGACTGCAGGGTCTTGCGTTGGAGAAAGATAGGATAACTTGGAACATCAGAACATGTATAAGTATATAAAAATGACTTAATTTTTAAATGTTCAGACCCATGAGATCATGGTATACTAAAACCGCTTCCCTGGTCACTATCGGAGAATGCTAGGGAACGGGCATATTACCCTGAAAATGGGTAACCAGAGGGAAGGAAGCAAGCCTTAAGAACGCCCGTCATTTGGGACTAGCAGATACTACTGTGTACAGAACGGTACACTTGCAACTGAGCGTCTCATCTGTTCTCCGACAGCGGGCGAGCACAGGGGACAGAGTCCACCGGGTCAGCGCCGACTCCCTGCCCGGGCAGGAGAGGAGCCCCTTGGTGCAGATGTGAGCAGGTCTAGGGGACAGGGTGGGTGTTCTGGGGTATTTATTTGGTCTGGGGAGGGCAGTCCCTCCCGGGTAAGAGCAGGGCGCCCACTCTGCCTCCGCATCCTTCTCTGCCAGGTTTGCTCAGAGAGCCCGGCTGGTGAGAACCACCTCACAGCTGAGAGATGGGCGTGACTGGGGCTCTGTCTTCTTTGTCTGGGCCCCTGCAGGGCCTCTGCTGTGGGTTTTGTTGAGTTCAGCTGTTGGGGACGTGGCAGTACTGCCTGGTCGCAGTTTGACACCATAGGTGAGCAGCTGCGGCTCCTCCCAACCCTGCGTTTCAGGCCTGGTGGACTCTGAGCAGAGCCGGCAACGGCGGGCCTAGCATCAGGCCTCGTCCCAGAGGATGTGCGTCCATCAGTGCGTGGGCAGCAGTGACTCTCCAGCTTGGCCAGGAAGGGACTTGTCCACAGAGGGGAGGGTCATATCTTTTCCTTTAGTTCGGCTTTTTTTTTTTAATGAAAGTAGTATAAAGTGTTTTCTTTTCTGTCTTGAATGGCGGCAGACCTTCAGAGATGCACACAGTGGTTGATGGGGAGAAGCCCCATCTCCCGTTGTGCAGCTCTGGGAAAGAAGCCTTGAGACTCAGGAGCCCTGTGCCCCCCTCATTTCCCAGGGAGATCTCGCGGCCCTGGTTGCCTTCCCTGCAAGCTGGAGCTCACAGCTCCACTGGCCGCAGGGGTGTGGCGTTACCTCTGCCCTCACCAGACACGCTCTGCTTTCTGCAGGCCCTTATCCCGTGTCTCCGCGGCCAGAAGGTATAGCTGTGAAGTCAGGGAGTCACTTTCAAAGTCTGCCTGTTGCAGAGACGTTCACTGAGAGAAGTTGGCTTTTTCGGTGTTTGTGTGTGTGTACGTGTGTGTGTGCACGCGTGCATGTATATGTGTATTATGTGCATGTGCGTGCGTGTGCACGTGGACCGCGGCCTGGACCTCCCCAGCAAGCCTCTTCTGCTGTTCAGTGACTGTCCATAGGGCGGTGCTGTGGGCCGGCGGCTCCGTTCTCTACAGGCAGAGATGAGTTCAGACACGGAGCCCAGCCGTGAGCTCTCATCCCAGCAGCCACGTGGGGGTGTCTGGGGGAGAAATGGAAAATGGCCAAGGTCCCCAAGGAGAGGCAGGGGCCAAGGTGCAGAGTGAGTCCTGTGTCCAGAAAGTGCCGTGTGCACAGTGAGCCCAGGTATGAGTCTCTCCTTTAGACTCTTGGTGCTTAGACTTCACGTTGGCTGGTACTGGTCGTTGGGGATGCGGCAGGACCGGCCCTCAGCCCTGAAGGACCATGCACAGGGTGGAAGTGAACTGCTGAAGTGCTACGGGCCTGTAGGGAGCCTGTGAGGGCCCCGGGGAGATGCCTGGCCTGGGTGAGGATGCAGTTCCCAAGCTCCTAGCTCAGAGGCCAGCTTTGGGGAGGGCACCAGGGGGTGTCCCTTTGGCCATCTGCACACCCGCAGTGGGGTCAGGCTGCCGGGAAGGTGGAGGACGGAGTGGGAGGGTGAGCCTGGAGCTCACGTGGTTCCTCCCGAGATCAGGGTGCAGCGATGATGCCGGGTGGGGCTGGCGGTCAGTCAAGGCAGAGCCCATTAGGAGGGGCTCAGCGACAGGTCTGTGGACGTGTGGGGCCTCTGTCTCAAGAATGGAGTCCCAGGGGGCCGGGAGGGCAACTCTGGTGGTGACTCCACGTGACTCATCTCCCGGCCTGGCGCCCCCTGCCGCGCCCACGCCTCCCTCTCCCTCGACCCTCAGCTGCATCACCACAGCTCTGTTCCCAGCATCAGGGGCGCTACCTAGCTCTGCCCTCGTCCCGTGGGCCGTGCCGGGTCCTCGATCTTCCTCCCTCCGGGAGGCCTCCCGCAGCCTTGTGGCTTTACCTGACTGCCCCATGTCCTGGGGCTGCTGTGACTAAGTCCTAAAAGCAGCGGCTGGATGGAAACCACACAAATGTGTCTCTCACCGCTCTGGTGGCCAGACCTGAAGTCAGGGTGCCGCAGGGCCACACTGCCTCTGAAGGCTCCAGCGAAGGGTCCTTCCTGCCGCTTCCGGCTTCTGGGGCTCCGGCTGTCCCTGGCGTGTGGCACCCCTCCCGTCTCTGCCTCTGGTTCACACAGAATCACACGGCCGTCCCCTCTCGGTGCCCACTGAGAGCTGCTTCTCCCACCCCCACCCCGGTTTTAAGGGCATCCCTCTCGAGAGCCTTAACGTGGTTGTGTCTGTGGAGACCCTGTTTCTCAGTAAGGTCCTGTTTGCGAGGACGGGGATGCCTTGGAGGGCACAGTTGGACCTCTGCACATGCCAGCCACGCACTGATGATTACTGGGTTTGTACCTATGGGCCAAACTCACTTGTTCGCAATTTCCTCGTGGATACTTGAGAAGCATCTCAAACCTAAAATGTCCCATCTCTTGCTTTCTCCTCCCAGTCTGCAGAAACTGCTCCTCACGGTCTGCTCTGCTTCGGGACATGCGGCTCTGCTCTGCCAGTTGCTCAGGTGGGACCCGTAGACCCTGCCCTGGCCCATGAGAGTGTGACCTGCTCCCGCGTCTCCCTCTCCTCCCCTCCCCTCCCCCTCCCTCCTGCTGTCCCACTGCTGGGCCTCCCCTCTGCAGGTGGCACAGGTGGTCCCCTCTTCCCCAGGTACCCTCACTGCCCTCTCCACCCCCTAGTCATTCTCTGTCCCTGCCTGATTCCCTACTCTCATCACCTCTGGACATTTCCCCGTGTGCGTGGTGACAGGCAAATGACAGCATCCTGTCTTTGCATTACACACAGATGTTAGCTGAGTGCCAGGTGCAGGCACCTTGAGCACACCTTTGTCACTCCTGCCTGAGACTCAGCCTCCCTGGGCTCAGTGTCAGCACATCTGCCCGACTGCACAGCCGTGAGCTGCTCGCTCCCCTGTCCTGTCACCTTGCCACCCTGTGTCCCCCCCGCCCGTGTGCTGCCTGGCATTCCTCTTGTTTATGGTCCCAGGAAAGCAGGGCCTTGCCTGTTGTTTGCTGCTGCACCCCAGGGCCCAGGGCACAGGCCTGCATGCACAGACATTACTAGATGTTTGTTGGGGGTGTGAACGAATGAATCCTAACGTCTCGGAGCGTGGTGACACGCCAGGGCCCTGGGCAGCAGGGCGGGTGCTGAGTGGGATTTGGCTGATGACGGGGTGTCGAGGGCGGTTTTTACTCCCGTGTGAAAATACGTGTGTTAAGAAGTCCGGTGCCATGTAATCGGGACAGCAGTGCTCTGCAGTGATTCACTGATGCTTCTCTGCTTTTGTTTTCCCAGACACCACTTGCTTTTGACTCAAGATGATTTGATGTTTTGTAATAAAGCTCATTAACCATGATGGCTACACAGACGTTAAGTATAGACAGCTATCAAGACGGCCAACAAGTGAGCGCTCGCGCCAGTCCCCTCTGAGCCCGGCCGCTGGCCGGGCGCCGTCGCTCAGCAGTGCCCCGTGCGTGCCTGCTCCAGTCCCCGTGAGGCTGCGGGTTCAGCGTGAAGTGTTTATGCGTTTATTATGTGTCAGTGCTCAGAAGATGAGCTGTAGAATTGTTCGAGTTATTTCCTAACTGATACTGAGATTGCTGGTAGTTCTGACTCCCCTAAGTCACAGTTTCTCGGGCATTTACCTTTTTCAGGTCAGTGTTAGTGAGTATTGTTGCTTTTAAAGAAAAGCTGGTTTTTGTGGATAATGATAGATGCCCGCGTGGCCTGGCTGCGGATGTGAGCAGGACCCATGTGGTCGCATGTCCCCAGCACAGCACAGCCTATCCAGTGATGTGCAGGGCGCCAGGGCAGTGCTGTCTGCACCTTTCCTGCTCGCCCCTGGGGACGGCGTCTACACAGCTTTCTTCGATAATGCGGTGGCTTCTTAAGTGCCCTCCCACTGCCCCTGAGGCTTGATTTCCCTTGAAGCTGCAGCTGAAGCCCGGGTGTTTTGTGTTCTGTGGCCCAAAGGAGCTGGGGGCCAGGGAGGCACGTGCCGCCTTTCTGGGGACCTGAGGACATGGGAAGGCTGTGCGCTGGAAGGCTGTGTGCTGGGAAAGGACGGGGCTCAGCTCAGGCCCCTCTGGCTCAGGCCTGGGGCTCGTTTTCATCGCGGACACTCACCTGCCTTTGCAGGAGGTGGTCACGATGCCCAGCTCCCTGCTCCAGGGTTTAGGGATCAGGGCACCTCCCCCAGCCATCACTGCCCGCTTGGTGAGGTCCCGGGGGCATGCATGACCCAAGGCTGTGCCCCCTCCTCCCAGCATGTCTCTTCGTGGTGGACAGTGTTGCACTATTCCTGGTATGTTTCCCGCTGCAGCGATTTTGTTTGTTTTTGTTGGCTTTTTAGAAGTTCTCGGTGTGTTTTGCTCCCTGGCGGTTGGGAGCTCAGTTGGAGCTGCTTTCCTCACCGAGAGGTCCTTTGCTGTTCCCAAATGATTTTGTTTCTAAAATGCAAATCCAGCGGTGTCCCCTCCTGTCCCTGGGCCCTGCCCTGGCTCTGCCTGCCCCACCCAGTGCCCCTCTGCCCTGTGGCCCCAGGCCCCCCCTTCGCTCTGCTTCCAGTCCTGCAGCTCTTTGCCGTCTGCCAGGACTCATCCCGCCTGGTCACCACTGCAGCCCACTCCCCGTTTGCCAGCTGCACCCCCATCTCTGTTCTTCGTAGCAGAGCCCACCTTCCCACAAACTTCTGTGTCCACCCTCCTCCGGCCGGTGCAGCCCCGATGCGGTGGGCGTCCGGTGCGGGGCTGGGCACAGTGGGGAAGAGGCCTTGTTTTCAGGAGCTAAGCCTTTCCCGTGACGTGGAAGCCTCTTTGTGAGCATGATTTTAAGTAAGCATTTAATACTCTGCGGTGTAGACAGGCCACACTGACTTAGCATCCTCTGAGCCTGAACATTTAGGTTTCTCTTTTTTCACAATCATTTTTTTAAAACCCTGAAGTAAATCTTTTAAGGCTTTTTTTTATAATGCTGTCAGATTTCCCTCCAGAAAGACTGTGTTCGACTTGGCTTTAGTTAGTTGCTTTAGGTTTGTTTTTTTTAAGAGAGAAACAACTCCCACGTAGGCCGTCCCACCCCACGGCAGGCAGCGGCGTGGCAGTGGCTGCCCGCCCTCGGGGCCCTCTGGGCCCTCGGGGCCCAGGCCGAGGCCGGAGCCTGGGCCTGCAGGGCTGTTCCCTTGGCCCCTCCCCCAAGCGTCAGGCGGGATTCCTGGCAGGGGTGCAGGCTCTCCCAGCATCCAAGGATGAGCCCCGCCACCTCACCCCCAAGTTCCCCCAGCAGGCTGCTTCCCTGAGGGGCAGGTGGATCCCAGACACCCCCGTCCGGAGGAAGCTGAGCTTGGGGGCAGTAACCCGCTCAGGGATCATTAGAAGTTTACTGCAGCAATTTTGTTTCATTTGTAAACTGAATTCTTTACGTTTAAGGATTTAAATACTCTCCTCTTAAGTTACAAACAACACAGTTAGTTTAAAGCAATTTAAATGATAATATCTTTAAGGCTTCCTCTTATGTTTAGACACAGCTGGTCTTTGCTTTCTGGATGTAGTGACTTTTCTTAACATTTATATGGCTTGTGTATTCCTGAGGTGTAAGGATCGGTAAGGGAGGAGGATTTCAGCCCTGTCACGAGCACGTGGCATGCTGGATTTGAGTTGTTTTGTGACAGGATGAGAAGAGCGTGGACTGTTGGCTTGCCCTGCTCTTGCTGTGGTGGCGCTTAGCGTGAGGACGCACCGCAGGTGGGGAGAGTGAGACAGCATGGGTCCCATTGCCGCAGGGCTGTGCGATCACTATGGTTTTGAAAACCATAAGCATTTCACAGATTTTGATCCTCTCAGTGCTTAAATGGTTTGGGAATTTGACCTTCGTTTTGGCCATTTAAAAGCATATTAAATTCGCAGGAGATTTGGTGGTGGTGTTCTGTACGTATTATTGCCACTGGTAACTGTCTGGCAGTTTACTGTTTTACTGCCTTCCTATTTGAGAATAGAATACTTAGTGACAGCTCATTTTGTGTTTAGTAACAAAAATTCCCTTCCTCCTTTCACAGATGCAAGTAGTAACAGAGTTAAAAACCGAGCAAGACCCCAATTGCTCTGAACCAGATGTGGAAGGAGTGAGCCCTCCCCCCGTGGGGTCCCAGACACCGATGGACGCAGACAAGCAGGCCATTTACAGGTAACGATGAGACGTGGGGCATATGGGTGTGCAGAGGAGCAGTGAGAACAGAAAACCTTGTTAAATGGGACGTGAGCTATTACAGGCAGAGTAGTAAGGCATAATGTGCTAATTACTGGGTGAAAGCTTTCTCACATTATGACGTTTTTCCTAATATCTTAAAAAAAAAAAGTTTGGGAATGTAAATCTACATTTTAGTCAGCCTTGCAGAAAGAAATCTTGAGGCCCAGATGGTTGTGCTGGCGAATTCTACAGAAATACAGAGAAGAAAGAAACAGCGAGTCTACGCAGTCTCGTCCAGAGGAGAGAAGACGAGAGAACACCCTGAACTCCTTTTATGAATTGAGGATCTTACTGATACTGAAGCCTGACAAAGACAATACAAAAAATAAGAGTGAAGACCAGTATGCCTCATGAACTTAGACATTAAAGTCATCAATAAAATAGTAACAAATAAAATCTGGCAACATGTAAAAAGAACATTTAGTGACCAAGTGGACTTTATCCCAGGATTGCAGGACTGGTTCACCATTCAGAGATCAACCAATGAGAAACACAATGTCATCATACCAAGCAATGCAGAGAAGCATTTGACAGAGGTCAATAGCCAGTTACCATTAAAAACCCTCAACAAAGCCGTAATAGAGGGGACTTTCTTAACCTGAGGAAGGGCAACTGAAAAAAACCTACAGCTCACCTCGTGCTTACTGGTGAAAGAGAGAATGTTTCCTCTTGAGATTGGGAATCAGGCAGAGGTGTCCACTCTGACTTCCTGTTCAGCACAGTAGTGGATGTTTCACCAGTTCAGTGAGGCAAAGAAAAAAGAAAAGGCTTATCAGATTAGAAAGGAAGAAATGAAACTGGCTTTATGCCTAAGTAATATGATTATCTATATATAGAAAATCACAAAGAGTGTACCAAAAGCTACCAGAACTAATTAAGTGAGTTAATAAGGCCACAGGTTGTAAGAGGAATGCAGAGAAACCATTCCTGTTTCTGTACCAGTAATGTACAACTGGAAACTGAAATTAAAAAGATAATAGCATTTACAAGAGTGCCAAAAAAATTTAGATATAAAGCTACCAAAACACATACAGAACCTTTATGCTGAAAACTATAAAATGCCACTGTAAGCCATCAAAGAACACCTACATAAAGGACATACCATGTTCATGGATTGGAAGACTCAACATGGTAAAGATGTCATTTCTCCTAAAATTGATCTATGGCTCTATAGCAATCCCAGTTAAAGTCTTTGCAGGATATTTTTGTACATGTAGACAAGTTAATTCTAAATTTTACATGAAAGTCAAGAGAACTAGACCAGCTAAAACAATTTGGAAAAAGAGGAATGAAGTTGGGCAAATCCATCTCCCTGATTTTCTCAGTGGAGAAAAAGTAGACTTTTCAACAAATGGTGTTGGAACAACTGGACATCCATGTGCAAAGAAAAGATCCTTGACCTAATCTTATATACTATTAAAAAATCTACTCAAATGGAATGTGGCTCCAAGGTAAATTTTAAAACTGTACAAGTGGTATTAACCAAACAATGGAATGCTACATGGCCACAGAAAGGAACGGAGTACTGACTGGTGTCACAACGTGGATGAGCCTTGAAAACATCACACTAAGTGAAAGAAGCCAGACGTGAAAGGTCACATGGTGTATGACTCCATTTATGGGAAATGTCTAGAATTGGCAGATCTGTAGAGACAGGAGGTAGGTTAGCGGTGGCCTGGGGCTGGGGTTTGGGGGGAAATGGAGAGTGACTGCTAATAGCTGCTGGATTTCTTTTGGGGAAAATGAAAATGTTATAAAATTGACCGTGGTGAGGGTTGCACATCTCTGTGAGTATACTGAGGCCACTGATGTGTAAGCCGTAGTGAGGAAACTGTGTGACATGTGAGTTACATCGCAGCAGAGCTGTTATGTAAAATGGTGCATATGTACATACATTCTCAGGGAAATGTACAACATATATTTTTAAAATTTTTCCCCCAGGCATCCACTATTTCCATTATTAGCTTTGTTGTTTGAAAAATGTGAGCAGTCTACACAGGGCTCGGAAGGCAGCACATCTGCCAGCTTTGACGTGGACATTGAGAATTTTGTAAGGAAGCAAGAGAAGGAAGGAAAACCCTTCTTTTGTGAAGATCCAGAAACTGACAATTTAGTAAGTAAAAGAAGTGTTTTCATTTTTTATTTCTTCTAAATTTAAAATCTGTTCAGTAATTTTAAATTTCTAATTAGAACTCTGGGTCGTTTGAAGCTCTGCTGAGGCGGAGGACCGTACAGTTCATGAGTAGCTTACTGTGTGCGGCTGGAGTGTCCCCAGGTCTCCAGCCTTCTCCCTTCAGAGCCTGCGGGCTCTCGGACCAAAACCTTAGGCCCTGACCAGCAGGGAAAGGTCTTTGGAAAACTTTTCCCTGAAGAAGTTGCCCTGGTCTCAGGTGGCGGTGTTGTCGTGGTTGCTTTTAATTTCTCGTTACATATTCGACCCTTACAGCCAAGTGAATTTTACAGGTGGGTTGTCAGTCAGTCTCCTCACCTTTGAAATGGGACTAACAGCACCTTCCTTTCCGGGGTGAGGACCTGAGGCTGTCTCTGCCTCTGAATCTGTGATGCAGCCGCCAGCGAGCAGGAAGCAGGTGTGGCCAGCGTGGGCCCGGGCTGCCAGGGGCCGGGCTCTCCTGCCCTGTTCTGTAGCACAGGGCCCGGCAGGCTTGATGCCTGGTACTCACTCTCGTTATTGACCGGCTGACTGGTTCATTCCCCGACGGTGAGAGCCCACCAACAAGGTCACGGGGAAGGAGCTGAGTTTTAGGCTGAGGGTTCACCGCAAGTGGTGTTCATGGTAACAGGTCTTCGTTAGTGTCAGTTGTCTACTGCTGGGGGCAGATTACTCCCAATGTAGTGACTGCATATAAAATCATAGAACTTATTGGGGATTTGTAAGAGAAAATCTTTAGAACCAGGGCTAATCGAGGGCTAGGTAAAGAGTTCTTTGCATGGACACCAAAAGCAGAAAACCATGAAAGGTGGAGTTGATAAGTTGAACTTCTTCAAAATTAAGAACCACCTAGGAGGTGGGTCTGGATTCATCCCCATTTAGAGATGAAGAAACAGGAGCAGAGCGAGGGTAAGCCTGTAGCGAGCCTGTGGTGGGGCTGGGCGGGGGCCCGGCCATCTCCTGGTGCCGTGACTCTCTGGGGTGGCTCAGGGATGGTCCGTCTTCCCTGCACACCAGGAGGATCCCAAACCCCGAGCCGCAGGCCGATGGGGCTGGAACGATTTGTTGTTCTGCATAATCTCTGGTGTTTTCCCTCTGTTACTGGCAGTGTGGATGGCCATGCTGCACAGTGTTCATGCCAGTGGCCAGCTGTGTGCTGGTACTTGTAACTTACCACTGCACCACCTTTTTCTTGTCTGAAAGTCTTGATTTTCTCTGCTTCTAGATGGTGAAAGCAATCCAGGTTTTGCGTATTCATCTCCTTGAGCTGGAGAAGGTTAATGAACTCTGCAAAGATTTCTGCAGTCGATATATTGCTTGTCTAAAAACGAAAATGAACAGTGAAACCCTCCTGAGCGGAGAACCCGGAAGCCCGTACTCCCCCGTCCAGTCCCAGGTACTACGTCCCGGTCACGAGCGTCTGCAGGGCTGGCGCGTGTTGAGACACCAGCCCGTCAGAGTTGTGGGCTGTCTGTGTGGCTGTGCTGCACCAAGGACCCCCGGGGCTGGGGACCTGGCCTGCTCTGACAGTGAATTCCCTCGGGCTGGGAGAGGCCCCAGCTGCTTCTGCAGTGAATGAAGTGAGGCCTCAGTCTGTGGCCTGGAGCCTGGAGCCTGGAGTCCACGTTTCTGGAGACCAGAGTACCATTCATCTCTTTCTTTCTCTTTTTTTTAGATGTATTTTTTAAATAGTGGTAGAATACACATAGCATAAAGTTTACAAGCTAACCATTTTAAAGCGCTCAGCTAGGTGACATTAAGCACACTGACAGTGTTGTGCAGTCATCACCTCCATCCGCTTCCAGATTGTTCCATCTTCCCAAACTGAGACCCTGTCCCCAGGAAACACCGACTACTCTTCCCCCTCCCGCAGCCGCAGCCCCCGCCACTCCGCTCTGTCTCTGTGAATGTCACTAACCTGGGTCCCTTGTGAGAGGCAGTCGTACCATGTGTGTTCTTCTGTGTCTGGCCTGTTGTATGCAGCATGGTGCCCTCAAGCTCGTTGCTGTCAGTTAGCGCTCTGCAGGCACGTGGTGACATTTCCTGGTGGTTGTGGCGTGTGCGTCCCCGATGGCTATTGGCGTTGCCGTCTGTCACGTGCTCACTGTCCATCTGCGCCCTCTTTGGGAGACTGTCCGCTCTTGTCTTCTGCCTGTTTTCTAACTGGATATTTAAAACCTGTTAGCCCCTGAGAGTGTGCTACACACTAGTCCTTTACTGGGCACGTGGTTTATGAATATTTTCTCCAAGTCTGTACTTTGTCTTTTCATTCTCCTTTTTGGGGGAGGTGCTGGGGATTGACCCGGGCCTCATGCATGCCAAGCACATGCTCTACCACTGAGCCACACCCTTCCCCGTCTTTTCAGCCTCTTAACAAGGTCGTTTGCAGAGCAAACATTTTTAATTTTGATAAAATCCCAGTTATCAACTTTTCCTTTTATGAGTCATACTTTCACTGTAAAGTCTAAGAACTCTTTGCCGGGCCCTAGATCCCAAAGATTTTCTCTCTCTCTCTCTTTTTTTTTAACCTAAAGTTTTATATTTTACGTTTAAATCCGTGGCCCATTTTGAGGTTTGTGCATTTGCCTCTGGGCGTCCAGTTGCTCCAGCACCATTTGTCGACAAGGCAGCTCTTCCTGCACTGAGCTGCTTTGCACCTGTGTCCAAAATCAGTTGGGCGTGTTTGCAGGGCCTGTTTCTGTGTTACCTGCTCTGCACGTGTGCCGTGCAGTCTGGATTCCTGTGGCTGTGTAAGTCTCAACACTGGGTTCACCGATTCCTCTTGCTTTATTCATCTTTTTCAAAATTATTTTAGCTATTCTAGTTCCTTTGCCTTTCCATGTAAATTTTAGAATAATTTTGTGTGTATCTACCAAAAATGTTACTGAGATTTTGATGGGAATTGCATTAAACCTGTGCATCATTCTGGGGAGAACTGACATCATTACTTTCTTGACTCTTCCAGTCCACAAACGTGATGTTCTTTCCATTTATGTATGCTTCTAGGATTTCTTTCATCAGTGTTTTGTAGTGTTTGACATATAAGTCCTGCACGTGTGTTTTTAGAATCACACCTAAGTGTTCCTTTTTTTGACCAGTGTAAATGATGCTTTGTTTTTAACTTCAGAGTCCTTGCTAACATGTAGAAATCCAGTTGATTTTTGCACGTTTACCTTGTATCCTATGACCGCAATGAACTCAATAGTCCTAGAAGGTCCTTTTTGTAGTTTCTTTGGGCTATCTACCTGCTTAGTTTTGTCGTCTGCAAACAGGGCGGTTCCGTCTCTTCCTTTCGGATCTGTATGCTTTCTATTTCCTCTTCTTGCCTTGTCGCACGGGACGGAGCGTCCCTTGCTGCCTGAATGGTTGGGGAGAGCGGGCGTCTCCCCAGCTGCAGAGGGAACGCGTTCGGCCCTTCCTTGTTGGTTACAGTTTTAGTGGTAGCTTTTTTTCCTAAATATCCTGTGTCAAGTTGAAGAAGCACCCCTCTGTTCCTGTTTTTCCGGGAGTTTTTATTACATTAAATTTTGTCAGACGCTTTCCCACGTGAGTTGATATGATTCTGTGATGTTTCCCCTTTCACCTGCCAGCATGACAGGTGACATTACTTGATTTTTTCAATATCGAGCGAGCCTTGCGTTCGTGAAATGAACTCCACTTGGTCACAGCACATAATTCTTTTATACAGATGCCTTATTCTGTTTGCTAATATTTTTAAGGCATTTTTGTGTGTACATTAAGGGGTAGTCATCTGTAATTAATCTTTCATGGTACAGTCCTTGGCTAGGTTTGGTTATCAGGATAATACAAATTTCATAAAATGAGTTGGAGAATGTTTTCTCCTTTTCTGTTTTCTGGAGGAGACTGTGTGGAGCTGGCATTAATTCTTCTTTAAATGGTAGACTTCTCCAGGGACACTACCTAGACCTGAAGATTTCTTTTTGAAAGTTCTAGAAGTGCTAATTCAGTTTCCTTAATAGTTACAGGGCCACTCAGAGTATCTGTCCCTTCCTTTTGTGTTGCTTTCATTTCTTTCCTCTCTTTCTAGGGTTCTTGATATGGGGCTTAAATCACTGATTTGGGTGGCTTAATTTTGATTCTGACAAGGGTAATGTGGCAGACTTTCTATATACCTACCAAAGCTTCTGCTTTCAAATTGATGTAGTAGCCCACAGAGTAATTGTCTTTGAAGGATATCCACTGTTTAGCTGTTCAAGCTCCTGGGTGTCTGCTGCGTGCCAGACCCTGTGCTGGATGCCAGGGGCAGAGATCCCTTCCCTCACCAGTCCCCACCTCACCCTGACTGCAAATGGATACATTAGCCCTTTAGGATCTGCCTTCACATGAGTGGAAGCTCCGACGTGGTGTTTGTAGACATGCGCATGGAGCTTACTGTAGGCCAGACCCAGGCCCCACACCCCACAAACGTGAGGGCTTCGACATGGGGAGGGCAGGTACCGAGCGTGCAGGCGCCGGGGTTGACTCCCCAGCCTGCGGCGTAATCGTTTGGAGAATAGCTCATCCTGTCCGGGAGACTTTGGTTCCTGGAAAAGAGTCTGAGCCAAATTGAATGGAAAAGCTGTGTGATGAGATTAGGTAATTTTGGTCTTCCAGGGCCGTAGGGTGTGTTTAGTATGCTGATGAGATGAAAGGTCATCTTTTGGAAGCTCAGTTGAAACTAGTATCTCAGTACTGATCATCATACTTAATGTTCAGTCAGTTTTGCATCCAGGTTTCCAGGTGTGTATGTAATGCATGCGTTCCGGACGGCTTGTCGTCTGCTACGCTCTGTGCCTCAAGCATCTTTCCTTCATTAGTGATACTGTTATGCCACTTGTTCTGAAGTTGTAAACGTGGGTCTCCTGTTTTCTACTCATCCCTTCACTGTGTATCTGTGACTTACAGCAGATTCAAAGTGCCATCACGGGCACTCTCAGCCCCCAAGGAATCGTGGTGCCGGCGTCCGCGCTGCAACAGGGGAACGTAACCATGGCAACAGTGGCAGGTATGAAGACAGGAATAGGGACACTTTCCTTGAGCTTTTGCAGAAAAAAAGCCTTTATAGTAGAATGAAGAAGTTCAAAAATACAGTTTTTAATTAATGCCAGTTCCCGATAGAGGAGTGCCAAGATCTGGAGCTCTTTGAATGCCTGATTCTTGTTAATTCTCAATAACAAATGTTTTATGCAAATTGTGTTTTCCTATCAAAAAGTATTGGGAAGAAAGGTTTTATAGGAGTTAAAAATATATAGCAAAAAACAGTTATAATTTTCAAATAACATAGCTTTCAGTTGTGCTCCAGCAGCACTGGAAGATCTTAAGCAGAGCTATTACTTAATGACACACAGATGAAAATGCAGCCTGGAGGTCAGGATTACTTGTTCTAGGCACACCACGGGCCTCTAGAATCTGTCCCCTTCCTGTAATGGTTTTTGTTGTACGTTGCATACAAAGAACCATCATGAAAGTGGAGTGGGGCTTGGGAGGAGCGGAGACCTTTACACTAAAACCCCCCACATAATTGCTCAAAGGGAAGCCTCCATAGGAAGTTGAAAGCACGTTGAATCAAAAAAATAAATAGAATAAAAGTATTTGTTGTCAGACACCTTGGCCAAGTCCTTCCCTACACACTGACTGTGGGGAAAGGAGGAAATAGAGGTGAGCCACGGAAGAGAGGCGCAGACCCTGCCCCTCCCAGCCCTCCCCCATCCCCTGCCCTGGGTGGTGAGGGGCCACGGCCGCCCGCCTGGCACCTGCTCTCCCGCCGGGTGGCAGGTCACCTGGCAGAACACCGTGGACCGTTTGACATGATTTCCAAAGCTCGTACGCCACAGGCTGTGTCCCTTCCTTGAGCACATTGAGAAGATGCTTTCATCGCTGAGTCGGGAGAGGGATTTAACTTTCCCTGTTCCTTTTCCAGGTGGCACAGTCTACCAGCCTGTCACAGTCGTCACTCCCCAAGGCCAGGTGGTGACCCAGGCGTTATCGCCTGGCACGATCAGGATCCAGAACTCCCAGGTGCGGGCGCGGTTCCCGGGAAGGGTGTGGGGCGGGCGGCACAGGTGTGGGGACGCAGGTGGAACGTGGCCCCAGCTGTTCCCTCCGCGTGAGATCCTTTGTCTCAGACTTGCTTTCCCACGGCGTCTCCAGCTCATCTGAACGTCAGCGTTCTGTTCCCTTTTCACTCTCCATCTCCCCATTGTCGCACAGTTCAGGGGACTCTGAGGAAGGAGAAGTCCTGTGTTGTCCCTCCCTGCGGGCGACCGAGGTTGTCCAGTCCAACGCTGGGTGTGGTGTCGCCTCTGCTACAGGGGACAGGAGGCGGCGTAGACGCACCCTCCAGGCCTGTGGAAGTTCACGGCGGAACCTCCAGGCAGGACTTTCAGGCCACGGGGCAGGGGTGGGTGACAGAGCTGGAGGTGCCGGGATGTGCTGGCCGGACCTTGGCCATCCAGCCATCTCTGAGCCTCTGTGCTGGAATGAGACCGCTCCCCTTCACATTCTGCAGATACACGCATGCTTTTCTTTCTTTCACACTTAGGTTTAAAGCAGAAGCAGTATTTTGTTACTAGTTCTTACTTAAGAACACGGACTCACTCTTTGTGTTCGTTCTCTGTGCTTGGGCTGCATGGGTACATTCTACATCCTCATTCATAACTTGGAGGCCTGGCCTCAGGGAGGTCAGGGTTTTCCTAAACCAGGTCGCAGGTACGGGGGGGGTGGCCTGGGGCGGCGTGGGCAGAGGCCATCCCGGCACACACCGGCCCAGGATGTGAGGTGACTTCTGAGGCCCAGACGGGTCTCACCCCCGACCAGCCCCCTCGCCCTGAAGTTGCCCATTTACAGTAGCTGTGGACGTAACGCTGGTTTGCGGAGCGTTTCCTCATACCGCGGTGAACTGTCTTCAGGAGAAAACATTCTGAAGTGAAACGCCTTACTGGTGTGGTAGAGGTTCATTCGTTCTGTTGTTTAAGAGAGAATCAAACTGGACTCGTCTGCAGGCGGAGGTTCCTAGCCAACGTGGCCCACGTGCGGGTTCGGGTGATTTCAGCTGAGCCCCTTCCCGCGGGGAGCCTGTGTGGGCGTCTGGCTCCCTTGGGCGAGCAGACCTCCTCTGCCCTGGCCCTCCGCAGCCCTGGCAGCCCCCCCCCACACCCTTGTCCCCTCTCCTCACACCTGCCTTGTCTGTCAGTCCTGGAGCCGCAGGGCTGGGAGCCCGAGGGACAGGCCCCTCGGGGTTTCTCACAGGAAGAAGAGGAAACAGCCTCTTTGAGGAAAACCTGTACATTTATATGCACGATCCTGTCGCAGCTCTCTTTGGGCCGCTCTGGGTCTTTTTC